CAGAAAATGAATTTGCCTCCTTGTTCCTATTGCATTTTTGAAGTCCACACATACACCCATTTACAACCTACAGGAAACTGGTCATCAAGTGCCTTGGCATGTTGGATCATTAATGATCCAGAAAACCTATTGGACACATCACTGATATGTTTCTCACAAATGCACCTTCTTTTTCTAGCTTCATGTCTGAGCTAACACACATTTAGAAGACAGGAAATTTTTGTGACAGGGTAAATACCATCTTTTTCTGAAAACCACAACACTGCTATTGTAAACAAACATTTGTAATATTAAAGGTATTATAAACACATTTTATCTTACTGTGTGGCAGTGTTCACACTGTTTTTTAATAGAGAAACAGCCTTGTCACCTTGCTGAATGTCTTAAAGCTAGCCTGAAGCTGTTCTTAAGTCACATGTTTTAAACATATATATAAAATAGAAGATATTAAAGAAAACAAGTTACACTTTTTCAGTGTTTGCAAGAATAGAACTTATAAAATTTTTTACTGACCAAGGCTATTTTCTAATCTGTCAATATTTTGAAGGCCAATATAAACCAAGTTTGTTTGCAACCAGATTAATTTCTGTGAAATAACACTGAAAGAGATTTGTCTTTCTTCGTGACACTTGAGAAACTCAGAAGTCTTAGTTTGCTTCTTGCTATTAATTGTCAGCTCTGGATGGCTTAAATATAGAGAGAAGCCAGAAAAGCCATCTGTTTGGAAGAATGAAAAAGCCTAGTTGTTTTACTCATTTCCTGGGCAAAATGAAGAGCTGAAAGGTTTTCAGTGAGAAAACTGCTTAGACTGCACTAAGCCAGATGTACATAGGGAACCAAAAGGAATAAATGAAACTGAATTTTCTTATTTCAGTATAAAATAGTTGTATGGCAAATATGAAGAAAGCACTTGCCCCTTTAAGCAGATTATCTGTAAGTTTTCCTGTAAATTTTCCAAGTCTCGGGTCTGCTTTTCCAAATGAACTTTTATTATGAATAACAGGATAATCTATCAAGCAAAAAAAAAAAATCAGTTTTTAGCAGTATTATTTTAAATAAATGTCTGTAATACTATTTTGAAAGAAATGTATTGACTGTAGTCCTGTGGAGAGAACTCGGAAATGCTGTGCTGAAAAAAGCCAATCACTAAGTAAGTGTCGAATGTGAGATGCAGAATTCTTAAATAATGCATTAGCACAGCACATCAAATTACATCAGACTTGAGAAGAAAAATTCTGACCTATTGAACTCTGGGCATATTGAACTTTCACTCTACAAATGAAAACTTCTTCAACCACACAGTGTATTCTATAGCCAAACATATTTCAACACTTTATGCTGACAGCCCACTGTCAGTGGGACATACCACTAACTCACACTTAACATGAAATTGCTCTGCTCTCACCAAAGTAAATGACAACATAAATCTGCAAAAAGCTCTAAATACATATTCCTTCGGATGTCAGGAGTGATGGTCTCTGCTGGAAGGACAGATTTCTAAGTGTCCATTGTCATCTAGCCTCCAGAGCAGGAACTAACACACTACTACTTGTTAGCTCCAATCTTCTGACACATCTACTTGGATAGCTTGGTCAGAACTCCTATCAGCACAGCTCTGCTGCTACAACGGGAAGCATTGACTATGTGACTCCCAAGCCAAGCTAAAAGGACTACAACTTCCACATCAAATATGATATTATCAGGGAAAAGAAACAGATTAAGTAAATAAAAAACCCTACATAAATTAGCTTATTCTGACCCAGCTGCATATAACAGGTTTGCAAGTCACAATACAATAGGTAGACGGAGCAGTAACATTCAAAACCCCTGTCAGGGTAGCAGCAATGAGTGTGGCTGTTCTCCCTTGCACTTGGATTTGGCAGGTTTGCAGTGTCTCCACACACAATTTACAGCAGTTTTTGTCAAAAGTATATTACAGAATACCTTAAAACATTTTTGCTGCATTCAGGCAGCAACACAGATGACAATGACAATAGGATTAAAATAAAAAAATGCAGAGCTATCAAAATGGTTCTGAGCTTGTCTAATATGAATTAATCAAAATAGCTTTTTCCCTTTTTCATCTTATCTTGATACAGCTTTTGAACAGTGTATTGCATATCTCTAACTTACCTAGTCATCTCTCAGGCCATTACTGATGGGAGGCTGACAACCATTAGTCAATTGAGTGTCATTTATTTATGCAAAGAAACCCCAAAACCTTTATCAAATGTATCTACTTGAGGTCACTATTCCAATGTAGAACCAAAAATAATTACTGTAGTGCCTCTAGCCACAGTTCAATTAAGAGACTAGAGAAATAAATAACATTCATTTTTAGATATCTATATATCCCTAGGCACAGTAATTTGGATGATCCTTGCAGAAACAGCTTTCTGGACTGCCCAGTTTAAACGATAAATCTATGCCACAGAACTGTCTCCATAAACTGCCTTCATTTCTTACTGTTCTACTGACAGGAAGAGACTGGGCTTTAAGTCAGTAAAAGTATAATATGAGATAAATTTACAGTAGTATGCAGGTCAGTTTTATTTGCTTTATTAAGCAGACAACTTAGCTCTCTCTTCTGAAACACATTACAAAACTGCCTTATTTTACTACTGAGTAATTCAGTAGCTCTTCTGCTATTCTTTTGCCCTCCAATTATAATGTTCAGCTACATCACACAGTATCTGAAGCACTTGCCTAGATGTTGGGAGTTTTAGATGAACAATTAGTTATACTACTTGCAAAAATACTTCAAAAATTTAGAGAAATGAAGCTTTGAGCTGCTAAGTCCCCCATGCCCCTACACAGTTTTCTCCAGAAGAGAAGATTAAAGTCACCAGACTGAACAGCAGGCTTCTAACAGCTCATATCTAGATTTCCAGACCTAAAACAAGGACTCCACTGGATTTTTCCCTTCTTGCAATGACAGTTTCCTTGGCACCCAAACACATTGCTGTGTTTCCTCAACTGGAAACAAATGAACAAAGAATCCAAATAGTCTGGTGAAAGGCTTATGGAAAAAAATAATTTCCACAGCCCCTTCCTGAGATGCATTCTTTCTTTGCTATGAATCACAACAGCTTTCCACAGTAATGGCTTCTCCTTTACCTATTCTCTGAATTATTGCCTTCCCTCCAGCATACACAAGCCATCCATCTGGAGCTCTCCCACACTGTCTTCCTTTAAAAGGCTACTTCCATTTCTGTTACATAAAATCCCTTGTAAAGCTCTCAAAGGGCTAAAAGTAAGTCAGTCATTATTTTGGAATGGTCTTAAACACAAACACATCTATTTATCTCTGCAAACTTAGGATTTCTTTTTTTTTAAGCATGGCAGACAGTTGCAGTGTGAAGATGCCTTTTTCCACGGTGACAGAGGCACTTCACAAACTCTGCTGGTTTAGTGTCTTGTTACTGATCTGTGTGCAGCACAGTTTCAGATTATGTTTGACTATGGATTCCCAGACACCCAGTGGAAAAGACTGACGACAATGCTAGAAGATACCTAAATTTCTAACAGGCTTCCTAAACCCAGCACAACTCACCATTGCTAAACCTCAGGTAAATACCTCTGCTCATCTCAGGCAAACTGTTCAGCATTATCCAGCAATTCTTTACATACTGCATGTTCAGCATTCTTTTAAATGAGAAAATTTCGATTTTAACACGGAGTCTTCTTGCTTTTACCTGGAATAACCTCTCCTCAACTTGCATTTATCATCATATAGCATTCAAAACTGGGAGCAGTACAGATGAGATCTCACAACAAGCACAGCACCAAGTAGAGCAGAATAATTACCTCCTGTGCCTCGACATCTGATGCCTTTGTTCCTATTACCCAGAACAGGTTTTGTTTTGGTATCACTGGACTTTAACTCTTAATCAGATCTCCTATAATACCCAGAATTCTTAGCACAGAACTGCTTCATTCCCTGACAAGCTAATGTGCCCTAACACAATCCATTTTTCTCTTGCAGATTTTACAGGGCCAGTCTGTCCCACCATCCAGACTATTAATGAAATTATTGAATAAATTCATACACTTGATCACCATAACGATATTTGTTTGGTTTAACCAAGAAAATATTCTGCAAGTTTCCAATTAAGAACATCATGTAGGAAAAATTCTTCTATTCATTGTTATTGAGCTTTAGGATGTTAGAGAATCTCAAATGCTATAAAAATTTAGCAAAAAAAGAAAAAGTTAAAATAAGACAGTGTAAATCCAAGTTTAGTTTAGTCATCCTATTATGACAAAAAGGACAAAAAATGGAGGTGGGAAGCTAGACCAATCTTTTTTACAGGCTGAGGTCAGCAAGTTCCAGAACAGCTTTAAGTGCTTCACAAAGTTCCAAACCATTTTAATTTTATACTAGATATAAAATTATCCAGAATAATGTTATGTCAGCATTTTCTTACTTTGGAGCTAGAAATGTCAACATCGTTGTCTAAACATAAAGTAGTCAAGAAATATATTTGTATGGGTGTGAAAGCAGTACCAGGGCACTACTTCAAAAGTTTTTGTATTTATATAGGAAATGTAAAACATTTAGGAAAGCTCCCTCTGCCTATTCCACAGGGTTTTTTCTTTTTTTATTGATCCATTATTGAATAATGCTGCTTATTTGGTAACAATATGAGGCAAAACATGAGCAAGTGCCATTCTGCATTCCAATATGAATCATTCAATAAAGTTTTGCAATATATACATCTTATCCAGCTTCTGACATTATAGGTCATCATGCCAATGCAAATTTTTAACAGTGCAATAAAACCCTTCAAATGGAAATGCTTATCAATGTAATTCAAGAGACCAGACAATTTAATTTTCTGAAATTTATATCACTCATGTCCATAATAATTTTACATTTCACACTTCATGCTCTCAAATGTTACCCTAGAGAAGACTAAATCTTTTCGCCACATATACTATTGAAGACACTAGCCAGGTTTATAGAGTTACAGAAGACTATAGTAAGATGTAAAATTTGTAGGCAATAAGTTATTACATTGGCTGACTAAAACAATATTCAGTCTACACTAATGTTTGATCCATTCAAATACAATAAGTATTTGGATGTTATATACTACCCATTTCATATACTTACAGTGCAAAATAAGTGACAATTTTTTTCCTGAGCATTTAGGAAAAGAACATCCTTTTTCTTTATCATTCATTGCAGTCCACTTAAAATATACTCCTCATACACCTATGCTTGTCAGGACTGTACAATTAAGACAGGCAAAAGTTTGTAGATATCAGAAGCCCAATCAGGAATCAGAAGGGTTACTGAACATCTCTAAATTTGTCCCTGTTTTTCAAGTCGAAGGGTATAACAGGATTTTGACTTATAGCAAAAAATTCAGAAATTACATTTTTTTTCCATTGACCAAACATTCCAAAATGTACAAACCACATGCCTTCCAAAACAGAGAAACAGCCTCTATTCAAACAAATTGTAATACATATTTCAACTTACTATTCTGTAGTTAATGTAATGCCCAGTGAGCTGTGCCTCCAACAGACATAAGAGAATAAAACTTTTAGGAATGTGTTTTGGGCATTTTGCAAGGAAGCTGGATTCCTTACACATTCATCTTTTTCTCAATAGCTACAGACCATGAGTTTCTAATTCAATCTTCTCCTCTGTTTGCAATATATCAGGTTCTACTGGAGGAACAGGTGGTCTGAGTATAATCTCTGGACCTCCACCATAGATCGACTGAAGAAAATTCCATGTTTCTTCAGATATTTGTCCAGAATCTGCACCTGAAAACATTTAAAAAATTTTAATTATTGTTTAGAATAACTCCTTCATGATTTAAGCCCATAACAGATACAAGAGAATATAGACTGAAATGTAAAACTGTAAGCTGCCTTTGTCCTTTATCTTGCACCAACTGCCAAACCCAGTTACCTATTTTGTGTGAATTTTATACTTCTTGATTCTTACAACTGCCTGCTCTAAATTATGCAGTACTTAACATGCCTCAAGCATAAAACACATGAAAATTTTATGATAAACATCTTATCTGATATTTAGCCATCAAGCTGACAACTGGTAGCTCTTGATACTCAGGGAACAACCATTCCTATTACTATAAGGACATGCAGTCCCATCAATTACAGAGTAAAGTTCATGACTCCAGATTATTATTTCATTAGAGAAATTGATATTGATAATAAAGAATGAGAACCATGGTGAAACTCTCAGAACCCCAGAGAGAAAGCACTATAATCAAGATAATAACAGCCCCACTAATGCTCCTTGTATGCAGCACTGATGGGTCAGCCTGATTTCTTTTCGTTCACTGATTAAAGTCTTTGTTTATGATTCCATTCCTCTGGCCAGAGGTCTGTCTCCTGTCTCAAGTCAGCAACCAACAAGCATTTCTGATTTTCCGTAGCTTTTTACGGTGGCAAAGGACAAGGAAACATCAGCCACCTCCCCTCTAGGTTTTAACACAAGGATCCTGTCTGATACAATTGGAGTGATTGCTTCACACTAACACAGGCAGAGAGGTCACATTTGTGTTCTACAAGAACAAATCCTCTCTTCCTTAAGCAAATCAAAACCTGCCCCACAGCAAGTTTCCCCCATTATCCTGATTACATACTATTAATCTATCTTGTTAACCTAATTTCAGCACCCTCATACTTGGGAAAAAAAAAACCACAAAGAAAAAGAAGCAAGCAGTGCTCTAACAAGGAGACTTGTCCCTCCACCTCCAGTACTCCTCTGTCCTCAGTACCTGCTCTGCTGGTACCTACTACTGTACTTGATCCAAAAAAAGATCAAGTTTCCAAAGAGGAAGGGTACAAAGAGTTTGTTTACCTACACTAACTCAACCATGCAAAGGTTCAGCTGCAAGTCATGATGCAGATCCCGTGCCAGTACTAACGATGTTATGCCTCAACTCCTGCTCTTTTAGGTTCAGATTCTCAAGAAACAACTCCATTTCAGTAGGCACAGAAGTACATCTTCACTCCCTTATCTGGATTCCAGATGGTCAGGTTTAACTGAACAGGCACAGTGAACTAAGGCACTGGGATCAGGACCACTAGATCACAGAAGTACACAATACTGTACACTATTTAGGGCCATTCCCACCTCACATGGCTGAAGAGAGAAATTTTCCACTGCCTATTCATTATTTCTACCCAAGTTCTAATATGAATCAATGTAGCTTAAGATAAGCCAAAAACTGACAATTTGCTATCAATTATTGATTCTAAAGTGACTTTTTTTTTTGTGTTACAAATCAGTCAAATGCTTTATATCTTGTATTTGAATTCTACATCAGTGCTTAAATCATTAAAATGTACTGCGAAACTCATTCCTTTTTAATACATCCTTGGCATTCTCCAGTTGGTGGAGTTTATGTTAGGTTTATTGGTAGGTTCACTGTATGCTGAAGCATTAAGCTAAATTGAGGAAAAAAATCCAGTAAAAATATGTTCATCTTAATGCCGTAAATTGTTCTTTTAAGCTGACAATGAATCTAAACATTCATAGGAGGTCTAAAGTCTTCATAAAGAATGCCCTATCAGAATTTTTTTTCTGTACATACAAAGTTTAAATAAATGGTATTTAGCATCTGACTGTGAAGAACAACAAATAAACATTTATCTTTGCAAAAACTTTGTTAATCCGCAATGTACAGTATCAACTTGCAGAAAAATGTGCAGCAGCTTTTATTTACAGTGGTTTATTTCCCTCTGTCAGAAGTCACTATTCTATTCAAATTAGGTTTCAAGATTCAAGTAACTCACAGTCTCCAGATTTATGTGAAGAAAACCCCAATCAAACCAAGTGATAAAAAGCCAAAGCACATTTTCACTATTTTCAAGTTACTCTACACCTCCTACATTCTCATCTGCCCTTGCATTAGTCTATTATAGACACTAATTCTTTACTTTAAGCTGCTTCCCCAAAAATGGGCACAACACAGATTCACTAGAAACTGCCATTTTGTGGTAACAGTAAAAAAACCAAAAACAAACCCATAATAAGTTTTCCAGACTTCAGCAAATATATAAAGAGCCCAAAGCTGCAGCAGTATTGGACACCTACCTTGTTTTAGCACAGCATTTCCACATTTTGTTACTGCTATCTTAGCGTTATCTATGGGACCAGGAGGATCTGGTGTGACAGAAAAATGATTAAAATTGAGAGAGCTGAAAACAAACAGCAGTTGGAGGTTCTATTTCCAAAAGAAAGGAGAAATAGCTCGTTTGATACTGCTTGTTCTTGTACTTCTTAACAGTATGTTCTAAGCTGTTAAAAGCTAATCAGATTTTTAATTAAAAGCAAGTTTTTCAAAGCACTCATGATTACAGTAAGTCTTCAAGCAACATAAAACCCAAATCAATCCTAATTCTTACCCCTAGCAAAGTTGTCCTAGAGCACACTCAAGATAAGTTTGTAGAACATTTTATCAGCGTTTCAATTTCAAAACTTTAGAGGCACCTAAAGTGAGCTTAAGTGACATTATTATTATGGTTGCTGAGTTATCTATGACTTTAGGTTGTGACAATGAGGTCACCTTTCCTCCAGAAGTTGCAGCACTATCTATCAGTCTGCACACCAAAATCCACCCCTCCTTGTACTTAGATCAAATTTTCCTGCTGCTGCCAAAAGTAAAGCCCCTGCAAACAAATGACATTCTTCCCACAACTACTCCAATTGCTGTGAATTGTTTTACTATATTCTGTAATTTGGTTCCTGGATGTATTTGTAACCTACAAAACCTATGTCTTAGATGTTTAAGAGCTTTTGTTGCCTTCTCTATCTGTCCTTCCTACAGTCTTCTACCAAAGCAGAAACAATTTACTGAAACAGTACCACTCCATGACAACAAACCCCAAAAGATTACCTGTATTCTGAAATGGAGCACAACTTACCACTGTCTTTACCCTTTACAAATCCTTCCCATTCTCTGAACCAGTGCATACTGATGCAGTAAAATGTTGATGGAGATTCTTCTTCTTGGAATGCTCTATTAAGCTGAAAGGGAAAAAAAAATAAATCTGTGGGTTTCTGCCTAGTTTTTTTTTTTTTAAACTACTGAATTCTTTTAACCACTGTGATTATTAACCGTGTATTATACTGCTACAGAACATCTTGAAAATTACTATCAGAATAGTAAGCACCTGGAGAATTCCCAAGGTGACATTTTGATGCAGTGGTATCCTTCATATCAAAAAATGATTTATTACATAGCTGAGAATTATTTCTTTTTCCTGAAAACAACAACAAGTTCTTCTTCAACACCACTGCTTACCCACTTACACTACTGGATAACTACTGTGAAGGCTGAATTTTCAAGTAGCAACAGAAAGGAGAAAACTTACTTTTGTAAAATAAAACAGTGTTTTGTATGATTTTCTCCACAATTTTATGGAAGATTCTTTGCATGATGGACTGTACCTTCATCTATGTTTGGTTTTCCCCTAGTATTTTGAGCAGATGGCAGTAGAATTCCAAGCAAGGCACAGTGAACCAGTGCACTGAGACTTTTAATGACTTACAGATCTTTTCACAATGTCACCAAGAAACATGAAAGAAGTCCCCTTTTTCTTGATGTCACTCCAATCCTTTAAAACTATTAGCTGTATCATTACAAATATTTCCTCTAAGTACATTTCCATATAAGCAGTTGTCTGGGATATCACAAGAACATTACTGCTGCCATCAGGAAAGAAGGGATTGTAGATAAATAAGTATACAGATACTTAATAAAGTTCATTTGTTACAGGAATCCTCTGTGCAGTTCTGGTAATCCCTTAGTTCAAGTCCTGAGTATCAGGTGATGTCAAAAAGCAGAATGAATAAGTGTTTACTTTTTTACCCGAATAAACATTTCCAATTCATTTTTCCTTCTTTTTTCAATTCTTTCAGACTCTATTTGGCAGGTGTGACAAACATACAGATGGTTAACAGCTGGTCCTCCTCCATATCTGCAGTAGAGGTAAAAAAAAACATTAACCTTGTGGAAAATCACACAGAAAAGACCATGCACCTGTAGACATCACAAATGTCAGTTTCTTACAATGCAACAATAGTCTGATACACACTGGCCACACCAATCCACAAAAGTCATCATTTATTGTCCTAGTAATGTTTTGTACTCCATCCTAAAACAACGATCTTCCAAATTCTGACTGCCTCAAGCCAGTACAAACCATCTCAAACTCTGTTGTATTACATACTGCAAAAGACTTGACTATGGAAAGAACAGCTTCCATTATACTTGCCTTCCTCAGGCTAAATTCTCACCCACTGCAGCCATGGTACACTCCCATAAATCCCAGATAACAGCAAGACAAACAGCAGAACATGGTTGTTTCAGAATTACTCTGTGTTGAAAGTGCCTGTGCCAGTCAGGAAGCCAGACAGAACAGCCAAATATTTAGCAATAACAATTTATATCCCTTTTCCACCTAACAGATTACTCTCAAATCTAGAGGAACCCATTATATCTGGTACTTCCCTGTCAAATGATTTCAGTTTGACATCTTGTTAAAGGTATTTATAAAGAAAGGAAATCAACGTTTTCCTTCAAATTTAACAAATGTTTTTGCACACAGAAACTGGATAATGCCTTCATCAGCTGGAAGAAAAATTCAGTACATAGAGGGAAGTGGAAACAAACTGGAAATAGCTTTGTTTCTATTTTTCATTTGTATCCATTGAAACTTTAAAACGACAACAAAACACAGCCTCAACCTTTTAGCTATAGTGTTTAGATGGCAGGAAATTAACAGCGAAAAATATTTAATACAAGTGCAATACAGAGTCTTTAAGGTCATCAGGAAAGCTCTTCTGCAGCTTTTTGTTACTTTAAAGGGAGACATAGCTTGTTAAAAATTCCTCCTTTTCAAGCACTTAAATCTGACCCACATTAGAAAGTGTGGGGTAGTTATAAGGAATGCTTAGATATAAGTTACTTTGAAGCAGCACTGGCAGCTGAGGCTATGGATTCAAAGCCAACATAAAAGAAAAGCTGTCTCCAGCCAACAAGGGAGCAGGAAGCTGATACAGAGAGCTCTTTCAAAATACCTCTTGCAAAGTCTGGTTTTGCTGACCTACTTTGTGTTATTTTGTACATACCATACATGTTTATTGGTTTAATACTGAAGTATTACCCCAGTAACACACTACTCTGTGTAGGTTTCTGGCATTACTTTGCACAGGAAAACTATGTAAATCATTCCTTTGCAATCCCTTCATTTAGTTTTGTGCCTAGAATATTTTTTTTCCCCTGAGCCACTAATTCTACAGTCTGACGTTACTGCTTGGCACATATTTGCTCCTAAACCGTATCACCAGATTTTTTTCATTTACAGTTCAAAACTTACCTACTGTACAGATTATCCCATATATTTTGAGGTAGCATTACAACTAAGTCCTCTATGAAGTTAGCTTTGTGTGGAGGAACACCTGCAGAGAGAAAAAACCAACCAAAAAGCTACACAATAGAAAAGGCTTGTGGATTTTAGTGAGGGGGAGGAATCTGTTAGAAACCCCTAAATATATAAGAAGTACTTTTCAGTGAATTCAGAGAAATCGTATGAAACAAGTTTTACCACAGTATAATCTATTACTGCATTTAGAGACCACTCTAATTTTAGCCTTTTATGAGGCTGAAAAGCTTGTAAGAAGCAGAAGCAAATTACATGAATGGCCAAAAGGGGTACAGTCCTTTCTGGATACTGATTTCAAAAAGCTTCTTAAGGTATACAATTTAAATGTTAAAGAGTGATTAAATATTTTGTTTATGCATGTAAAGTTCATAAACAAAATCAAATTTGCAGAGAAAAAAATAGGATCACTTCACACAGTATCACTTCCGATTAGTCAGCTACTAAAAGAAGACAAATTATTTAGAAATTATGGTTCTAATTTGCCTAAGAAGTTATGAGCTTACTATAGTCAAATTCCTTTAATTAAAACAAGTGTACATTCCTATTATAACCAGAAGTTGACATGTTATTTTTAATTGATTCTCAGCTGCAGTCTCACCTCCATGCACACACAGGAAGTCATTATTTGAAATTGGTCCTGGCTCTGCAAAAGTCTTGAATTTATTCAACCACTGTCTGGAAACATAGAACTGCAGAAGACTTGGCTCCATCATATTCAGTAGGCTTGATATCCTCCGTCTCTCCCTCTGTGCTTCTTCACTGCTCTTTCTATTACCAAACCAGAAATCATTGAACAAATCTATGTATCAGTCACCAGTCAGTACAGTCAGTGCACAGCAGGAAGGGCAGTGAACACTGCTCGCACTGCCTAAACCTGTGCCTGTCCTTAGTTCTGACAACAGCACAGGTGTTATCATGCTTACAAAAAAATTTCAGCCTGCTTAGTTCAGCAACCCAAAGACCCCTGACAGGTCCCACTCAAACCACCAGCCTGAGAAAGCAAAGAGCTGGACTGGAGGAGAGATAGCAGACTGTACTGCTGATGTGGTATAGCACAGGAGGAGAAGGGCTGTGCCCATCTGCCCATTTCCTCTATGTATCTTCCGAGGTAAAGCTTTGTAATCTCCTTGGGCAGATGTTCCTTACTTACCTACACAAGTAAGGTAAGGTCACGCAGTAAGTAGATCAGGTAATTTCCCTACTTTTCCTCTATCCCCTACTTCTCTCATTGAAACTGTTGCTGCTTTACAACTAGAAGTAACTCTACTCTCCTGTATGGATTGAATATAATCTCTCTTCTCCAAAAGCAGGTTTGAACCTTTCATTCCAGCCACCAAAACTCTGAACAGAAACTTGACTCAGCATCACACAAAAGCTGGGTCACCTCAGTTAAGTTATGGCGTGAAAGTTGACTCCAATAGCTAACAGAAAAGCTTCAGGTACATTTAATGGCTCTAGCAACAAGGTTATTTATAGCACAGCCAAACAAGATTAAAACAGCAGGAAAAACCAAATGCTATGAATCAAAATTATTTAACAAAAACCTTGAAAGTCTGAAAATTAAATTCAAGTTCCCTTTCCAGCTGTAATTTAAAAATGTGCACATATCTCCACTAAGCTTTCTAAAATGTGCTGAAAGAACATCTTTTTTCCATGTGTGATAGTCTTTTGTGGGTATATTCTTTTTAAAAAGCAAATTCTATGAATGCTATTCTTTGATTGGTTATTTGAATGTTCTCCCACAATCAAAGATGCAGTGTTCTGCCTTGGCAATACAGCATGACTTCCAAATTCCATTTAAAAGACCTACTGAGTCAGGCTCGGGTTTAGCTCAGACAGTGGCAGGTGAGAGTGCTCCTAATGGAAGTTAAAACATTCTCACAACACATCTCCTTTCTTGTACAACCATGATCCAATGTATTTTGCAGTCAACTTCTAGTGAAAATTTAATCTCAGTGCCAAAAATTTGAAAACTGAATTAGGTTGCTTTTATTATTTCAAGTACAAAAATTCCTTATAGACTGAAGGTGATAACAACATAACTTCTCACATTTCATTTCAACTTTCAGGAACAGACCAGCCTACAAATTCCCTGAAATTAAATTACAACACAGTAAAACCTCTGTTGTTCCACATCCCATCTGCTAAAGACTTTTCACAATTCTCTTTAGAGCTTTAACCGTTAAGAGTCTGTGTGTAAAACCTCCCCTTGTGCAGAATTCCTTTCTTCTAATTGAAAATGAGGTAACTGGTGGCTAGTTCTGATTATTACTTAAAGTTCTTTCTGTTCATCCTACTAGACTTTATTTATGCAGATTTAATTTTCATTTTAAGTTCCATATATGTTTCAGCAGTGACAGAGCATGTGTTAAGGACAAAATTGAAGGCTTTAAGTCTCTCTCCAGCATAGCCTTTTCTGGTTGGTCAAATTCTTCTATTAGTTCTTGTGGGGGAGCTAATTTCTGAAAGTAGCTCAACTTCTTACCAATTCTTTACATACATGACTTACAGAAGTAGGATTGTATTTTCAGTTTCTTACCTGTAGAAGAGAACATAGGCTTCTGCATTCTGTACTGTGGATTCTGATACTTCTGTAACACTCTGGTCATCAAATTCATACCACAAATTATTTAAATTGTTGCGACAGTATGCGATGTAATGTCCACCTAGAGTGTTAGAAGTGAGAGTTATTATGAAGTGCCCAGAGCTGCCCATTCTCCTCTGTAATACATGAAAAGGAAGTAAGTCCTAAAAAAAAGATCAAGTCTCAAATGTGAGAAACTGAATCATTAGCAGACAGCTTGGGATATTAGCTTCTTCCAAGCTCAAGATCAGGTTTTTTCTGAATTTCTATCAGCTAGTGGGGAGTTCAACACTGCTTTCAGCATGTTCTTGGACTCTTCAAGGAGCTTGTTGTCTAATGCAGTCCTGAGCCATGATATTCACAGTAAGACTGAACAATTTACTCTAATCAGATCCCACAATGAACTATTTTCAAATATTTGTATGCCTTATAATAGAAAATATTATAAAAATTCCAGAAGATTTGGAACAGCTACATGATATCAAGACCACAATTAACTGTTTTGAAGACTGTTCATAATATATTTAACATTTTTACTATTTTTAAATACATATTTAACTGCTAATAAGTAAATAATCAAGTATCTGCTAAACTGAAGCACCACTGAGCAAGCACTAAATGGAAGCTGAAAAAGCATCCAGAAAAAAAAAATTGGAAAAACACTTCATTCAAACAATGGATATCTCAAGTCTGAGCAGTATGAGGGGGTAACTTCTCTAAAAATATGTGAAGTTTCTGGCTTAAAACCTTTCTTTCTCCTGTTTTCCAAATTTTATAAACACTGAAGGCATCTAGGCAGAAATTACCTTAACACAGAGCAGTAAGATGTTTATTCAGCTACTCATCACTACCCAGAAATAGCAGTCACTGCCTGTTTTGAGGGTTAAATTGCAGTGATCATCCAAGAGAACATCTTCTGAAAAAATGACTGGCATCTTTGTGGTGCTTTATAAACCCTTTCCAAAAAAGAAAGGCATACAAAGCATTGAAACTCTAGACATAAACAACAGTTGTGCTGAACAGCCAATCAGCTGGTAATCTGCTGGCATGTGACATTAGTTATACATTTATACTGTTCAACAGTTTACATAGTTTTCTCACTTAATATTACAGGACCTGTTAATTTTGTTCCACCTACAATTTTATTAGGCATGTCATACAAAATGCGTCAATTCTTTAAGAGCAAGCATTGATCTTATGGTTAGAGCTAAAAATCACAGCATTTATCTTCCACGTTATAATCACCAATGCTCATCTATTTACCCTCCAGTATATGGATATCATCCTTAAAGAGAAGTGCTGATGTACCAACTGCAAAGACAAAACAAGCAGCCTCATACTTACTGCTGGCAGTTCCATGATGGCAGATGACAGACAGGAGATCGTAAGTCACAATTTGAGCTGGACTGTCCTTTGCAAGGAACGGCTGAAGATCAAGGCCTTCCAAAGGAAAGGACACATGGGTCCCAATTTTTGTGGAAAACATAAGTTCATGTCTAAATCTTTTGAGATGAATGCACAATATCTGTAAGAAGGATTGACAGATTTACTCAAGAACTATACATGCAATTTGGCATTTAATAACTACACTGTCTGTGCCACCTTTTCCTTTTATTATCCCAAAAAGAACACTTTTCTTTATGACCTGAAGCAACAATCACAAGCTCTGTATTCCACAGATTTTATGGGGTTTTAAATCAATTGTGGCTACTGACACAGATGCAGCAATGAACAACATACCTTCTCTTCCTCAATGTACATATTGCACAATCTTGCCATGAGGGACATTAATTCTTCCTGATTATTGCAGCCATCAATTCATGTTTTCAAGTGTAAGACTGGATTACTTTTAAAATGCAAAGTTACAAGCATTACTTGTAGAAAAGCTTTCCTGTAGAAAAGCTTGTCTGGCTGTGGTGTTTAATTCTATGACCTACAGTATAAATAGTAGTATACACAAGAATATAAATCTTGTTACTGTCTAGAGGCTGGCAGTAGCAACATAGGAAAACCCCATTCTTATAATTCCTCTTTTCATGTACAAGATTAATTTTCTTACAGGGTGAATAATCAAATGTTGCTTACATTCTTAGACAAATGCCAATATGAAAATAGACTTTCATCACATAGCATTATAAACAAAACTTACTCCATGCAACTCATTAGTCTTACCACATTCCTAATCATGCAGAAAAAGTGCTTTAAAGTGCATATTTTAACAGTACCTCAGGAAATTTTTGAACTTTGCAGAATTTGACTCCATTTCTTAACCTAAGCAGAAAAAAACCCACAAACAATCAATCAACAAAACAACCAATACTTAGTTCTGAAAAGGTTTTTTTTATTGTGCTAGATCAGCAAAAGTCTAAGCTGAATGCTACATTAGTAAACCCAAAATATTTCTGGAATGTAGACTAGACATGGAGTAGCCAAAATGATACAATGGTGCTTCAGAAGAAAAGACAATCTTGTACTGCTGAAAAATTGAAAGCAGCAAGTGCATATAATCAAGTCCCAACTAGCTAACATTTTTTCTTACAATAAAGGAACGAACTTTATGCTTCAATAAAGCTGATTATTCAGCAAAAAAGGAACAAACTAAGTTAAAGAAATTATCTACCACTGATACCATAAGGAATAACACTCTTGTACCATAAAGGGCTTCAAGCAGTCTTCAGACCATTTCTGTTTCTTGCTTCTTTAGTATTTAAAGCCACAGTAGATTTATTTAATTTTCACACACCGAAGTGATGTACTGCATATATCAATGAAAATCTCTTAGCATTAGAGAGGGCTAAAAGCTTCTGTTTTATAAATCAAAACCAACTTATACCTAAAATTGTAAGGGCACGAAGAAGAACGAAGCACATTTGGTTTGCACTGCGCTATGGTAAGTCAGTGCTTCCTGACCCCTGCACCTTTTTAATACTTTATTTCTGACACCCAGAACACAAAGTAATACCAAAAGCTGAACAATACTGTAACATATCCTCTTGACTAACAGAAGCATTAAAGGCCTCAAATTAGGACAAGTGAAAAGAAACAAAAGTAAATGCCAGCTTACTTTTTACACCTTCCACAGCTGTACATGTTATCACCTGCAAATACCAGGGAGAAGAAAAATCCATTATTCCCTAAATCCACATAGTTCTCCTTCAAGCACATACATTTGATATATAAAAGTTTCGATGGAATTTATCTTTAGGTTGCATTCAATATTTAACAGTCATAAGAGTGTTGACATAGCAACTAAAGAGAGGTTTTATGTTTCCAATTATGAAGCAGTACAGCGTAATCTGAGGAGATGATGCTATATAATTTAAAAGGGAAATAATTTACTATGTCCAAATTAAGGTTATGGGACTGAATCTTAATATAGCAGGTTCTGAAATTTTTATGAACCTTCAGTTGATACAATTCCACTAAACCCAAGTCAGATTTACTTGATATTTTTTATCTCAAATACTCACTTGAGACAGAGGCTTACCTTTCTGAAAGGAATGATCCCAAAACAGCAAGGAATGACTGTATTACAGTCTAAGAGGTGACCTCTGCTTAATTGCATCAAGCTAAGAAGATATTCATCATCTTATTGTGATAGCAGGAAAAAGACTTGGAAGAAACACGTTCATGTAATTAACCTCTTACCCTTGAGCTCATCTCTGGCGAAAAAGGCAGCAAGACAATCTTGTAAGGTTACAACTGGACCCCAAAACCAGCTAGGAACACATGAGACAACAAACCTGAAACATCATTGACAGAAAAGAAAGAAAACCAACAAATGTTCTGCCAGAAGAGCAGAAACTAAAATTTCAAAATAGACAGAAAAATAAAACAAGATAAATATTATTTACCTTTTGAAATATTCCATAAAAAAGGCTATCCATCCCTGGGGGGCATACGCTTCTCCACAAGACCCTGCCTTGACTAGGGATGTCTGATGACTTGCAGAATGGAGTTTAGCAAGATCTTCCTTACCTGGAATAGGTAAGGACAGATCCTGAAAGGTCTCCAAGGTTACAGAGAGCTAAAGAAGAAAACAAATGAAACACAAGGGAGTTAAGCTTGAAGAGAAACAGCAATTAAGTTGAATTCTGTAAAGTTCACCAGTAACTACTAAGCCACTGCATAACTGAAAATTCCACTAGGTAGCAATTTAATTATAAATAAGAAGATTAGTAAGAATTTGTTTTCAAAAAAGAGGAAGAAAAAAGTAACATTTTAGAATGAACTTACACTTATGCCTGAAACACTTTTTAGTCATTATTATTTGTCTTCCTATCAACATACAAAGCACTATGCCTTTTGCCTCAGGCTCCTGTTATACAAGCTAGTTTCAGAAAGCTTCAGTCCATTGTTTGCACAGCATTTTACTTTGACATAATCTTGACCTGATGTAACTGGACTCAGTGCATGAGAGACCCAGCTGTGCATTTTCCTGCTCCCATGCTACATTTCGTGATCACAGAGTCAAACATCAAGCAAACTTTAGAAATTATTATTTTATTTTTTCAACTTGCTCACCAGATTACCCTGAGGTCTTGGTATTCTTAGATCTAGAACAAAAGCAGTAAAGGCATGCAACTGCACCAAGGTTAGGCTATGTTGAGAAAGTTCCCCCAATGTAAAGATTTGGATATCCAGTATTTGACAGCATTGCTTTAAAACTAAAGCAGTCCAGTAGACATATTTAGATTACTGATGTTTTAAAATTGATCACATGTGCTGCTCCAAGTAATTGTCTGAGCAAACAGAACAGAAAAAACCCAACTGTTCCTGTGTGGCACATATCACCTGCAAAAGTGTCTGAAAGACATGAATTTTGTTACCCTCATAACATTTTGCTACCCTGATAAGGCTGTTACAGCAGTCTGATTAGACTACTATCTTATCTTTTCTTGGCAACATTAGGTACCTGACAACTTAGGACAGCAGCAGGTATGAATCTGGATATGCAGAATATGGACTACAAACTAATCATGCGTAAGTGCAGTTGAAGAGCAAGTCTCTTACTCCATCCTTGCAGTAAACCTGTTCTCAAAATGTTATTTTTCAGCTCTGAGTAAATATCCAGCTCAAGGAATACAAGCTATTCTAAACACAAATTGCTGGTAGTAGCTACTATTACAATTTGAGTAAACAAGTGTGAAACAACCTAACCTTCTGAGGAAATCTGCTACAAAGGAATATAAAATTACCAGAGAATGACTATCTGTAAAACTCTTGGTATTTGTACTGGGGAGAAAAACATATTAAAAGCAGAACCTTCTTCCTTTACTCACCCGATCACAAGTCAAGCACTGGACTGAGCTTATTATAGTCCCATCGAATATATCAGAGATAACACTCCGATACTTCTTGCGCTTCTTCCTTTTTGGGGATGATACAGTTGGAACTATAAAATGACAAAAATAAAATACTGAAGTAAATCAAGATACAATGGATTCCGATTTCCCTCAACTTTGTATAATATAATTAGCTGTCACACATATTTAGGGTTAAATGATGAGTTTTCTATTTACTAAATATTTCTTAAAATTACACAACCAGATTATGGCTAACACCAGGCAATCCATGTATGTTCCTCAAGCAGTTTATGGGGGACAAACACCAGAAACTTTTGCCTCTGTAACTAAAACTCTTGAAATCTACAGCCTACGGCTACGAGATTCATCTTGGCAGGAATCTCCCAAAAGGAACATTCTGTCTGACACTTCATTTGATCAGCTTTTCCCAGGAAGTTTTAAGCATGTTGGGCTGAAAAGCTCACATAAAGTTATTTTATCACAACACTAATGACAGTGGGTTGAAGCAGACCAAATGTACTACTAGAGTCCAGCCTAACAGCAACTTATGAATAAAACCCAGGCCTCTGAACCTCTCCTTGTGTGTGACAGGCTCCAGTCACCCAGCACCTCTTCTGACACTCACTTCAGCTTGTCTAAAACCCTCCTGTAACAATGACTGGAGACAGTAGTACAGATGCAGTGTCAGAAGCATGTTCCAAAGACCAAGCTTTTCTTAAAGTAGTCCACTGTTAGACAAATAAGGGAAAAAATAATTATATATTGTCCCTTGTGCCATAAAGCAGCACTGGTTTGTATCTAAAGACAGTAAAAGTCTAAACATCCTGGATGCTGATAAACACATTATCCAGTGGAGACTGCCAAAAGAAATACTCTGCACCACAGGGACAGTAACAAGCATAAAGCAGCATTCACAAGTCTATCAACAGTACAGTTATACACAGCTCCTTAAACCATAATCGACTACAGTGCTGACTTACTGAACTACTTCTGAACCACCAATGTGCTTGTGCTCAGAAAACCATTCCCTTTCTGGGGGTACCAACTTCTTTCATGTTTCTCCACTCTCCAAATCAGTGCAACAGATGGAATCGCCTAAACATGTTATTCCATCCTCCCAAAATAGAGGCAAATACTATTAACACTTCAAAAGAATTAGACTATTACAGAAATACAGGGAATTGCCTTATATGTTCAGCTTATGCAATGCTCCCTTTCCCCACTACAAACGGGATTAAAAAAACCAACGCCCTTATGAAGAACATTGCATTGTTATGCACAACGTAAGAAACACAATGAAAACTGTAATACAGAATAATTCAGTCCCTGAAGGGAGAAAATAAAGGGCCTATACCTTTTTTGTGCATTTGTGCCAGTGAAGAGCATGATGAGAATGATTTTGGAGGACTGTTTGATAAGCGTGTGTTCATCCCTTCACTTGATGATGGGGTTTGGGCTGCAGATACGTCATTCATGTGGACATCACTGATGTATTCTGCAATTAATATTTGTATTACTGCATACATTCTATGAAAAAAATTACTGCAGAATGAACAGACACAATGATCATGTGTCATGGTTATTGACCCACACTGTCAGGTCACTGGACATTTAGGAATGTAGCACCATTTCAGTTCTCTTTAAGCTAAGAACAAAACCAAAACCCCCCCCACTCTTCTGAGTTACCTGAAACCTTACCCAGTACAAATCTTCAGCTTTTCAAAGAAATTAAAATTGAATTCAGAACAGCTAAACTGAAAAAATAAGCTGAAAAGGTATGTTGTTTTCAAGTAAAACCACCTGCCCTATTTGACCTACACCTCTCTACTATATCGTACAACTCACTTGCACTCACACAAATACTCTGGCTAAGAACTTGACTGTTTCAACTGCACATTAGTAATGCATTACCTGAGAACCTGCTGTGTATTTGTACTTTGACTGTTCCTTGATTACTTAAAAACTCAGTGGTCTCTGAAGCAGTGTTTGTATCTTTTTCCAAGTCTTCCATAGAATTTGCTCGTTTAAGCTTGTTGCTTGATATTTTTTCTTTATGCCAGTCTTTGGATGTGGCTGAGTTGTTATCATCATCCTGAATTAACATGGTCGTTTCTGCAGGATCCTCTAAGACAGGTTTGAAAATGGCATCATTTTCTGTTTTATCACAGTTACCACAGGATTCACAGGGCTGAAAGTCAAGGTCTGACTGGCTCTTGTCTTCTTCCATACTCTCGTCAACACTCATAGGCTGGGCATCCTCCAGTTCTACAACTGGTTCTTTAAGTTCCTCATGAAGCAAATCCATTAGACAACGCAAAAATTCTTGTGCATCCTAGGATTTTGAAGAAGTTTTACCATATTATTGCATTTTATTTGCAAGGTATTTAAGGAATTATCAGGAAAAGATACAGCTGGCTGTTACAGAAGAATAAAGTAAATTCCTCTGTCCCAGGCCAAATGCTCAAACAAATTTCATTTCCAGACCATGTATGTTTCCTGCATCCATTTCTTGCATGTCACAAGCAATCTTATCATACAAGTTTCCTCCAAAACATTTCCCAAAAAGATTACTTCAACAATGTCAGCAAAATGAATGGAATGATAAATTTAACTCAAGTGACTACCAATAGTGTGGTCAGGCTCCAGCGTTGCTGGTAATGGAACATTTTAGGGACAGTTTTTTAAACCTTACGCAGCATCTTCAAGCAAAGCAGCCAGAGCCTTCCTTTCACTGGGTATGAAGCACTCTATTAAAAAGTATTATGCTGTACTTAACCTGCCTTACCAATTACATCACACTGTCAACAAGATTCCCCAACTGTGTTTCCACAAAGAGCTGTCAAGTACTGCTACAAGTCTAATCCATGTTTGGAAACATCTTAAAAGCAACCAAATTTCATCAATCAATGCGGCAGCCTTGTCCCTGGCAACAGAGAGTATCTAATAAAGCAGACATGGGAGAAAACAATAGCCTCTTCTTGGCAACCACCACTGCTGCTATTTTCTTCTGTTTTCCTTCTTGTATTTTGGTTGTTCATAATAGTAGTTTTTGCTGATCAACATTTCCATCCATCATAGCAATTACTTATTAAGCTCAAAACTGCTGACTAGAAAACATTCTTTTTTGTAACAATTACAACTTGCAGACTTGAGTTTTGGTTTTGGGGAATGAAAAACACTAAGTATGGCTACTTGCTGGCAACCCTTTTATGAGAAAAACGAACCAAAACAACCCAAACCTCAAGACACAGATTAACTGACAAACAGTATGCACTGATCAAAATAATTCCTTTTTCTCCCTGAAGATTGGGCACGCTGCACAACTGGCTGCCCACCTTGTGAGGCAATAGGAGCGTGTTGGTTGTGAAAGACCTGCTGTGTTTTCATTGTTGCCATGAAACTTACTAAACATACAACTGAAATATGATCCAGCCATAACCTAAAAAGGTTCTCATTAAGTATTGCTCTACATGGAAAGAGACATTCTCATCAGTGCTCAAATCTGCGAGAACTAAGTTCCCATACAGTTTCTTTTCAGTTATCAAGGCTGAATTTCTTCCTTTTCAGAAACTCATGTGGCTCTAAGAAATTCATGAGCAAATTACAAAACATTGAGATAACTATTTAAACATTGACTTTACACCTACATCCAGCATTTGAACATTAAACCGTGTTCTAATCCTCCACTCCACAAATATGAAACAAACTGAAACAGCAAAATTCCTTCAAGTAACTGCAGATTCCTGGAAGACTTTTCTAATGACAGGGTTTTAAATTTTCATCTAACCCAAGAGCTTTTAATGAAGCACTACAGACCATAAGGTGAAGTGAAGGATCAGCTGAGGAATGCCTTTGCCATACAACCATCCATGCCTATTCCATGAGTTACCAGCTCACAGTTCCCACAACACTGCTTACAAAACACACACAGTGGGTTTCTTCCCAAAAATACTAAATGAATGTTATATACAGTGTATCTAATTCTTTTTAAACGTCATTGATAGAAAAATATATTTTAAAAATCTATTTTATTCTTTTTTATTTTTTAACATCTTTATTTTGTTTTCTGGGACTGCTCAAATGTTGGCAGCTTTATTTGACACAAAGGAAAACTTCAGATATGCATTGCTTTAATTGTGAAAAAAAGGGAAAAGGAGTTATTTTCAGAACTTGAAAGCATCTGCTTTAAACCTGTCAGGTGACTTAAGTATTAGACTTAAAAGTAAGAAATAATTTTCTAGCTTAGGGAGATTTAAAAGACATCAGAAGGTTTTACCTGTTGAGAGTAGCCTCGAAACATTGGATTAACAGTTTTAATTCCTTGAAATAAACCAGTAGGAACAACAGATCCAGGCCTAAAAAAGGAATTTTTAAATATGTAAATACATACTGAAAAAGTAAGCATTTAAGTGAATTTTTATCTTTATTGGGATTGTAATTTTACCTGCAACTCAACACCAATAACATTAATCTTAACCAAAGATAATATTGCTACTATTAACTGTACAACTAAAAAAATATAAAAATCAAATCTGTCTTCCAACAGAGACTCCATAAGGCCTTTCATGCTGCATTTCTTGCCAGAGAATCAGATGACAAATCAGATATACTCTTGGCAACACTATTATTGCACAATTACTGCTTCTATACCTTTGTAATTAAATTTTGAAGTATTTTCTGAGACAGAGATAAGAGAAATCCCTGTTACCATAGTCATAAAACACTGATATGGAATGAAGGACACAGAGAGGATGAAGTAGTTAAATATCTTCGATGTATTTCTGGCAGAGCTAAACATTTATAAAGGCTTAATGCTTGTATAGTGCTTATCTAATCTGTTTCTTGTCAGATCTTCTTTAATACAATTTACATCAATTATTTGTCCTATCTTCGATAGATACAAAAAAGGTTATAAGGAGTATTTGAATCCTACAAATTGGTCTTTCCTTCCTCATTTTAAGAGAAATTCTCTTAATAAATAAAGGCTAGAAACCTAGGCCAGATTCATGCATCCTTCATGACTCTGGAGTATACTTATTTTCATTTCGTCACCAAAGTATGTAATACCTGCTCTTGTGCCACAGTTCTGTCATCAGCTTGAGGTAACTTTTACAAATTGCTGGTTTCTTATCTGTTCTGGCTAAGCCTCCACAGTCAAGAAAAAAGTGTGTCAAAGGTGGGCTGAATAAAAAGAAGAAAATAATATTTTTATTCCAGGTTGTTAAAATACAAGAGGAAATCTGAAATTCATACAAGTTCATTAAAAAGAGTAATACTAATACGTAATTCAACAATTACATTTCCTTAAATGCCGCAAACATTTCCTAGTAGGACAACTTCAGCAGTACAGCCACACTGCTCCTCAAAACATAGTCCTACATTTCTTAAAGCACCCGAATTTACTAATGGGATTCAAATTCAGGCAATTCCTACTAGTTGTCTCAGAAATACACTGCATGCTCCAGGAAAGATCACCATAAGCCTAGTCCATAAATAGAATTTTACATCTCTTCTCTAGAACCCAACAGTGCCACAAGATGTGGCTTGTCTCCTTTTTGGAATTACGATTTATTCTTATCCATTTCCTTTGATTTTTCTGTAGCAAAAAAAACCCACAAAACAAACCCACAAATTTAGTAGCTTTTTTCCAGATTTTCTTCTAGTTTCTCAAACTGCATGTTCATTAGAATGAGACAGTGAAAAAGCTGAGTAGCCCATATACCACAATTCTTTTTCTTCCTATCTGTGCCACAATTGTTTGTAGCACACAACAGTGATATCTAACAAGTACTTGTCCTCTTCCATGGCAGTGCAGCCCTCCAAAACCCTTAAGTCCATCTAGAGAAAACACATGCATAAGCAAATATAAACTTGCATTTACAATCATTTTCCTTACCAGTTGGAAAGAGCTTGTAAAGCTGCATTCATGTAACAAGTGTTACCAATATTTTTTAATCCTGTTAGACCTGAAAAACAGAATGAATATTCAACAAGTCTGTTAATCCAATACAAGCCATATTAAACAAAATACTTCCTAGAAAACACATACTAATTCAAATGCTCATGTTGCACTTGGGACGCCAATTATCATGCAGAATTGTAACTAGAAGAAACACAGGGCTTTGAAAGGAATAATAATCTAAGCAGAAGTTGTAATTGTTTTGAAGAGTTTTAGTCAACCAAAATCAGACAAGTAGATTGTATTTCACCTTACTAACTTTTGAGGTTTTATGACACCTGAATATTTTAATTTAAAATGTTTACCATTTAAGTTCTACTTCAACTTAATGATTTATCTGTTCAGCTAAACTGTTGCTTATGCTGAGCTTGTAACTGCTAATCACATTACCAAAATCTTCTCAAAGAAGATTTCATTCTTCTGCTGCAAATTCATGCCAGTAGTCAGATTACACTAAACATTCAAAACCTACTCAGCATGTGATTATCCAGAATCAGAATTATAATTACCTGTGATTAGTTTTTTTCTATGCCAATTATCTACCTTTATTTTTAGACTGCTCAGCTTAGACTCCCCATACAATTTATTTTCTAACCCACGCTGTTTACTTTCTTTTATCCACAAAGTTCTTCCGCACATGAAATTATTTTTATGAAATATGAAATTAACAAGTATTCTTTCAGTGATTACAAATTATACTATTTATGGCTAGTAACGTGTTACATTAATGAAGTAATGAATTTCAAAATGAAATTGCTTTTGTCTGAGCAAAGAGTAACATTTCTAAGCAAACAATCAGTAAGACTGGGAAACTAAAAAAAACATATAAAGCCTTCAGCAATCAACACTGATGGCTCCGTACAATTCCTCAAGTATGGGAACTACAATCATTTTAGTTTGTGGCAGAAAAATAAAACTTACTGAGAAAATCTTTCTACATCTGAAAACCAGTTTGGTTACTTCACTTACATTTTCTAATACACAGAACTTAAAAATTAAGTTTTAACATATCTTTCTATCTGTCAGAATGGAAATACAGTACTGCTTCCTGTACCTGCACCTGCATTCTGTCTTTCAATTGTTGCTGTGAAAAGGATGGTCATTCTTACAGAAATTAGGAAGCAAGAACAGTCATAGGATCTCAATTTTTTTAAATTTTATTATATTTTTAAAAGCAGTGGATATATCAGGAAGATACCCTCACTGCATTTTTCCACCCTGTACATTTCAAGGAAAGTTTTTTAATAGATTCTTTTCTTGCAAAGATAAATCCTCATCTTTGCTTCACCAAAAGCATTTCAAAAGAAATTTTAAGAACAAAGTTAAAATGGAGCTAAAGAAGTTTCTTCCTTTAAATCTGTTAAATTCTTAACATAGTCACATCATTATTACTGCAAACTTTAATACAATTCTATTTGTATATTATTTCGACACAAGTTACACTCCCAAAAATATTAACAGGACAGGAAGACACAAAGGTACACAGATAGACACATTGGTAGGAGAAACTAACTAGGACTAAAACACATGGCTTAATGATTTAAGGGCAGATGGGAAATTAGTGTGGTGGTGACGTTTCCAGAAAGACTGTGCCAGACAACAGAAGGGACAAGGTAGGCCTTCTGTCCAGAGCCAGCTGACTTGGGAGAGGGAAAGGTGGTAGTAGATGAGTAAAGGAGAAATAAGAGCCATCGCCATGGTCTAACCCCAGTTGGCAACTCAACCCCACAGAGCTGCTTGCTCACTCCCCCACGGTGGGATGGGGGTGAGAATCAGAAGGGTAAAAGTGAGAAAACTCATGAGTTGAGATAAAGACAGTTTATTAGATTATGCAAAAGAAGTTCACTCCAGCAAAACAAAACAAGGAATTCATTCCCCACTTCCCACAGGCAGGCAGGTGTTCAGCCATCCCCAGGAAAGCAGAGCTTCATCACTCCTAATGGGTACTTGCGAAGACAAATGCCCTAACTCTGACAGTCCCCACTCTTGCTTGTTCTTCCCCCAGGATGTCATATTGTATGGAATATCCCTGTGGTAAGCTGGGGTCAGCTGGCCCAGCTGTGTCCCCTCCCAACTTCTAGTGCGCTCTGCCTACTTGCAAGCGGGCTGGTGTGAGAAGCAGGAAAGGCCCTGACTGTGTGTAAGTGCTGCTCAGCAATACAAGCAACCCACAGCCAATCATTCACCTTTCCCTGATGGGATGGGGGAGAAAATCGGAAAACTGAGAAAACTCATGAGCTGAGATAAAGATGATTTTATAGGGAAAGCAAAACCCATGCACACAAGCAACACAAAACAAAGAATATGTTGACCACTGCTCATTGGCAGGCAGGTGTTCAGCCATCCCCAGGAAAGCAGAGCTTCATCACTCCTAATGGGTACTTGCGAAGACAAATGCCCTAACTCTGACAGTCCCCACTCTTGCTTGTTCTTCCCCCAGGATGTCATATTGTATGGAATATCCCTGTGGTAAGCTGGGGTCAGCTGGCCCAGCTGTGTCCCCTCCCAACTTCTAGTGCGCTCTGCCTACTTGCAAGCGGGCTGGTGTGAGAAGCAGGAAAGGCCCTGACTGTGTGTAAGTGCTGCTCAGCAATAACCAAAACATCTCTAGATTATCAACACTGTTTTCAGCACAAATCCAAAACACAGTCCCATAGCAGCTACTCTGAAGAAAATTAACTCTAGCCCAGCCAAACCCAGCACACCAATAAATGAGCATAACTTTTTTTTATCATCACTGACTGAAAACAACTGCCTTGACATCTGGCCTTGACACTGGCATCTCAGAAACAACAGCTCAGCAATCTGCTGGTCAGATTTTTCTGAGAAAATGGTACTTAGAAATAATTATTATGCTCTCTTATGAAACGAGAAATTAAGACTTCACCGTTTGGGAAAGTTTGGCAATGCACAAAATCCATTACTGAAAAGAAGAAAACAAATTGCCAAAAACTCCATACTAGGATACTTAATGCTCAGAAAAGCCAAGATGCAGGAAAGCATTCAAATCAGGAATCTTTTAGGGCAGGTGAAAACATTAAAACAGATTTTATAAAAACCTACTTGTACCCAAGTGGCTGGAATACCAACTACAATACACCTTACTCCAACATGCTTTCTTATTTTCGTTGCTGCTTGCAAGGGTGCATTACATTTGCTCCACAGGTAAGTAAAGGTTGCTGCAATAAAGGTGAACTAAAAATAAAGATCTTAGTTGGAGCAGAAAGGGAAACAGTTCTATTTAGAAGTGAACTAGTATATAGCTGGAAAACAGACTTGGAGACATACACATGTAATAAAGGACAGTAATGCACTGGATTTTGTTTTTATTACCTCTAGTCTTTAATTCATCTTCTTCCACTTCTATGTCTAAGTCATCAAATACAGCTGCTAGTGGAATCTTCAGTGTGGGATTACCAGGTATTTTAAAATCCTTATAGGAGAGAAAAGAGAAAAGTATATTTACTTGTATTTATTGCTTTCCTTCTTAATTAAGCTTAGATATAATTTTACCAACAAATCTAGAAATGGAAAATTACACAAATGCATTTTGAAATCTCATGCACACGAACTGAGAAGACTAGGATGCCACAACTACGAGAAAGTTTACTAAGAAACTTGTTTTCACATCAGCAGGGACAAGATTTTCTGACAACAGCCGAAGAACCAAAACAAAGCCAGTTACGGCATTTCTTTCCCCCGGATAACAAGCTAAGCCAGCACTGAAGAGCTAAGATAGGAGTTGTCACACAGAAGTCAGGGGATGTGTTTTTGATGTGCCACCAGATGGCTCACTGCAGTTAACGAAGAGAAATTAAACTCCTGGAAGAAAAATGTACAAGTAGAGAAACAAAGTATTGGGCAGGCAGTTAATGCATGACAAGTTCTTTCTGTGAGCACATAAAATCCTAAACAAAATGTTTGATAGACTTTGTAAGTTCTACTGATTTCTCTGTATATTATACCCATTTCCTGGGAAGATGAAATCAGGTTAAGTATAAAAGAACAGAAGTTCAGAAGTCTAAACTCAGGTTTATACCAAGTGACCAGAACTTCTGGACAACAAAAATGTAAAAAAAAATTGTAATGGTACTATTCCAACTGAGCTGCTGCCACTTTATGAGAAAATGATCACATTACGTTCATATTAAATACAAAACTTTCAAGTGATAACATTAAAGGATATTTCCTCTGTACATACATTGAAAAATTGCCCACATTTCTGTCCAACCTGTGCATCATGGTCTCTCATCTACTGCTGTGTCAATCAAAACAATTTTAGCAATACCATCCTTGTACCTGTGACAATTTTAACTGAGTTACCTGTCATTTTTATCTAACTACATTAAATACGCAGTAAAGAATAGCACTTTTTTTCAGATGTATGCATTACTGCCAAGAATTAGGCAATTGTAGCAGAACTTTCTCCAAGGCCACACTTATCTAGAAAGGGTATTATCAGTGAACAGTACTGATGCCAGTAAAGACAAACGTTAAGTCTGAGAAGATTTTAAAAAAACAAACAACAAGAAACCAAATCTAAACAAACCTTGTGGAAATTGCAGAAGAACAAGACAACCAAACAGCATATTTTTAAATTCTTTAATTTGTTCAATTTTCTCCCCTAACTCTTCTCCAATACCACCTAAAGCTTTATTCATTATCCTATTTCTCAGTTACCATAATGGCTAATAAATGTGGAGCCGGGAACAGCTAAGCACTTTTACAAAGTCTTGTCTTTGATATCATACAGAACACTATAATCCTAAGACTGTGTTTTACTTAACTAATATGAACTTCACAGATACTGGCCATACTTTTTCCTTGGCAATCCTAACTGCCATAGATCACTAATAGCATTCTCCTGATTTCTAGTTTGGCATGTATTTTTCCACATGAAATCTAACGATAAATTTGTCACTCTACACCGAAATATCACACATTTATAAACCATACACAGATTAGTACTGGCTCCCTTAGGGAATTCTTGCCTAGTAAAATTCTTACCTATTCAGCAGAGTTTCTGAGCATACCACTCCACAATTGTGTAATAACTTCCCACATATATGCACAAAAAAACCAAGGCCCTTTCAGTCACTTACCAAAACTGAAAACCAGATGTATTTAAAACTCAGAAACTTAAAGGAAACTTAGTGTTTTATATTGTGTGCCTTATATTACTAGTTGGTTAACAGCATGTATTTCTCTATAAGCACTGTACTCATGTGAATGAACCTGTATCTCAGGCCACTATCCATGAACACATAGCGTAACACGCTGCTGCTCCCTCAAAGTTAAACAGCAATTACTGCCATGAGTTTTGCAAGTAACGTTTTCAAGAGCTCACAGGACAGAGAAGCACAGGTGAACTCTTACAGTCTTATAAACTCAAATTTAACCCTGTGCTCTTTCTGTCCCTTACAGTTTATTTTAGGCTACAAACAATTAGACTATATGATGAAGAAAGCATTCTTAGGAAGCATGCAGCATACAGAAGCAAACATGGAAGCTGGGCAATGTCTCTTTGAAGAAATTTTACGCAAATACAGAGAAACTAATAGAAAGCTCAGCCAGAAGAACAGAGGAAAAGTCAGTCTCTCACTCGAGAGAAAACACAATGTTTACTGCAAAGCTACAGCTGCTCTTGCTTCATTAGGTTAAAAATTACCTGCACACTATTTTCTTGTGCTTGGTGAGACAGTCTTCCATTTGGGAGTGGAGAATGAGATCTTAATTTTCTATCCAGGAACACTTCCTTACTACAGGCATAACACCAAACACGGAGTGTAGTAAGGTTGACAGTTAGACAGTGTTTTGTCTCCTAAAACAGAACAAAAACCAAAACTGTGATTCAGAAATTTGGAATAATTAAATACTGCTACATGCAAGCGATAACAGATGTATTAAAACTCTAGGTCTTTCAACAATGAAGCAAATATCTATGTTAGAATCTTATATAAGAGCAAATCAATTACTGAAATTTTAGCACAAATCACTCAAATAAGCAACAAGTACAATCAGAATCTAAAACATTATCACACCTGACACACCTCTCTGTCATTCCAAAAACAAGAAGGGCTATTGGCAGAAGTGTTATAATTCACAACACACCAGTTTTCCAGGAATGTCTGTAACTGGTCATAACGGGAATCACCTCCTCTACAACAGCTGCAGGATGCCCAAGTTCCTTCTGCCTTCATTTAGTAAAGCCTTGTACTAGAACAAAGTTTTTAACCCAAACAGTGGGCCACAGTTCCACTACATTCACTCCCCCTACTAAAACCATCAGATTACATAACCATCTCAAACACTGTCAAACATGAGAATATGTTAGATTCTGCAGCTTCAGATGCATTAATAATTACATGTCTCCAGAACTTAATAATCTTCTTGAAGTGGACACAATGACTATGACTATTTGCAGTACAGGAAGCCTTGCTGGTGGAGACTGGAGTAAACAGAAAATTATTCATGTCAACTTGGTTTTCTCATATTAATGAGTTTATTGATATTTCTGCGGAAGAAGAATTCAGAAAAGGTCTTCCTATCCACGAATTAAAATTAACTAACAAGAAAATCAACACAAAGATGCCACTGACAGCAGGCAAACTATCCATTCCCTTTCTCTTACCTGGCAAGTACATAACATTGCTAAAACAGCATGTAAAGCAGGAATAAACTACCTTAAAGTGCCAAGCGGAAAAAATTGGAGGCAAGAAATTCAAGGACCATCTGTTCCCCAGCTGCACTAGAAGCAGCTAATTTCTGCATCTATTGTAAAGGCTTTAGAACTGTGATTCAGTTTCAATAGCTGACAAAAAAAACCTTCAAAGAATTTATAGAGATTTATATTAATGCACTATCGATTTGTATAAAAACACACTCCTCTCAAGCTCCTGCTGCAAAAAAAAAAAAATCAGGAGTGATGGTAAAATGCAGTCACAATGGCACATACTACTTGTAAACCCTCCTTGTACATATTATTTGTTCATTTGATCGTGTCTTTAGTAATTATAGAGATCAAAAATGGTTCAGTGTGAAAACTCAGATGTGTTTTTGAACACACAAATTGTAAACTGGGGGCAAGAATTTGATTTTCTCAGAAATCACATGTTAATACAACTGCCATCCCTCTGCCTCAAGTATGTTTATTAAGAGACAATGATATATCTCATTTGCTTCAATTTGCCAAGTGTTCCACTTGCACATGTGTGTGTGCAGAACACAGTGAGGTTAAGACCCAAACAGATGCACTGAAACTGCCCAACCCTGACAGCCTGGCATTCTGGGGAATGGAGTGCACACACTCCACTGCTTCTACCAAGCTGGATCCAAAATCAGGACATAGCAGGAAAGGATATGCTCAGCTCAGTCTACAGTTTCTTCATCTGTAGCCACTGAAACAGGGAGCAAAATGCAGAAACAAAGTGCCTGCTTCTGGGAATTTATAGGTCCTACATTACACCTCCTCAGCTGTGATATTCACTAATTCAACTTCCCTCCTCCTACCCATCGGGCAGTCACAGTCCTAAAAAGTCAGACAGAAGTAGTGAAGCACTACATATAAGCTGAGGTACTGAAGAACTCTTGTCTATGCATCTTGAAAATCATCAGTAATTGTTGCTCTTTTTTTCATTTTTACTGTAATTTCAGAATTGCATAAAAATTTACGCAGCTGCACAAAGACTGTAAACTCACATACTCCTAAATTAACAAGATCTGCTTCTCTAAGATGAAAAACAATCACAGCTAATCAAACTGCCATACAGTTAGCTAACACAGGTTATTGACTTCACTAAAAAGAGCAAGAAAAGTTCTCCACCTCTGCTTTACTGCTTCAAGGAACTGTATTACGTACCTGGGAATGAGTGGTACTGTGATCGACATGGGATTCTCCACAGCCAACATATGTACATCTGTTCTGTTGAGTAAGATACGAAGAAATATACAGAATTAAAAAGAGCATCAAACAGATTTACCAAGTAGGAATATACTGCCAGTCCCTTTCAAATTCAATCAAATTTCAAACTTGCAGAGTCCTACACAAACCAAGAGACATGCACAGTAAGCATTAAAATACGTATCACCTAAAGGAAAAAAGTATGCTGCAAGATTTAACTCAACTTCTCCCACTGATGGGCAGTCTTTTGATATATTTTGATATATTTATTCATACGACTGTCAACATGTATTTTCTACAATTTGTGATTTGGTAAAGATTGTTACAGAAAACACAGAGTTAATTCAGTGTCTGAATTGCAAAATACTGAATGGCAACAGCCTTGGAACATGACACATTTATACAAAAATCCCTGTATGCTCCTACCTGCAGTGCCTATTTATCAGGGTATTACTTCACAACTACTTAGCTTCTTCACCTTTAAATAAGAGTTTCCAGCACTGTATGGCTAAGAACTTACTACATTCTAGTTATAACATGCAAAATAATTGCTGATTTTAATCATGCTCATTGCAAAACACACTTGGCTGAGCTGAGTGTGGAATCTTGCAGCTGCCAATCTTCAAGCAATTTTCGTTAATTCCTCATTTGCATGAGTCAAGACAATCACACAAGAGGGTGCAGCATGTTATCTGTACAACTCTAGGCATGTTAATTTATACAATCAGTAGCAGCTGAACATGGTCAATGTTCTGTATTAAATCATCACAGATACTTGTTAAGTTACAGATAATTAACATGCTGGGATCTCACCAGGTTTTTCTACTGAACAATGTGGAGACAAGATGCCAATTCATCCAAGAGGAGATACATCACAGCATGACACCAAGTGTCCTACTGCAACTACAAGGCTCTCCTATGGAAATGCTGGTATGAAATTTAGATTTTTCAAGAACAGTCTAAGAGCTCTACATGAGAAATAGAAAACACATTTTAAACTTGACAGCATTTTCCCACCTGCCAGGCTGATGCATCCCTGAACACCTCAGCCTACTCCTAGGAGGGTTTTTATGTGTAATTAAACTTCAAGTCGTCTAACAAAAGACATTAAACACAAATCCTTTCCCCCTTCATCTCTGTTATTGACAGAAGGAGCAAAATAATCTCATCTCCTAACTGCTACCATAATCCACTTAAAAAGACGTTAATGAAGTGGATTTTTAACAATACTCACACACGCACCTGAAGGTTTGTATGTTAGCCTAGAGATCCTCCTGACAGTACTTTAGAGAAAAGTTGCCAAGAAAAGAAGTCAAGCCTACAGGGCAAAATTCCCATCTCTGGAAACTGCTGTATGTCTGAAGAACTCACAAGACATTTTAAAAACTAAATTAGCTACATGCTTTCCTGTTGGGATCAGAGATCAATCAGGAGCAACATTTTCAGAGGTGTTTTGTTTTCAAATACAGCGAAAGTTATGGCCTTTTGTAGACAGCAAGAGTAAGGGACAAGCACATTTAATACAGAACTACATCCAGGGTAAAGAATGTATGAAATTCATACAAAGAATGTTTATACAAGCTTGTACAAGTTTGAAAATAAAGTTTTTTCTATGCTTTGCTTAAGAATAAAACAAAGTATTTTTAAATGTATTTTTAGCACGTATCACTATGCTGTAAAAAGTCAGCATTTACTGCTAGATGTTATTACTAAAAATGCTAAGAAAGGGTTATAAAAAGTAACTTCATTAATTCAGGAATATTATATTATTTTTCTAATCTACAGACCCAGGCAAAAAATGAAAAAAAACACAAAAACTTAAGTGCTAGAAAGTATAATAACTCAAGAAGAAATGCTAGTTACCTCCCTTCTTATAAAAAAAAAATAAATCTCATTTTAAGCACATTATCTTTAAATGATGATATATGTGTACCTGATAGAGGGTAAATAATTTTAAGAATAAAGAACTGCAGAGGAAATTTTGCTTTTAAATTTAAATAAACTAATTTCAAGAAATTCATTACAGATATTTCTTAAAAAAATCTCACTACCAACTTTATCTACAGATTACTAGAAAAGGGCCCTACTAGGGACCAACAGAACAACTTACCTCTAAGCAGGCCCAAAGGTTGGGTCCTCTGACTTTGCAGTCCTGACAAGTGCCCTACCAAAGTCAAACACAAAAGCCAAGTATTATTTCACTTACTTTCACCAGTAAACCACAACTTCAAGACAAATTGAGGAAAAAAACTACTGTATCAGATGAATAACTTCAAGATTAAAAAAAGGATTTGTTGATAATCAATCTAGTTTTTGGTTTGCCTCACATAATCTCAAGATCAGCATATTTTTCCACAAAAACCTTGCACCTCTCTCTGAGTTTTCATTTTACACCAAAAATTGTTCATCTAAGTAAGGCATAAAAGTACATATCACATTATTATTATAATCCTCAAAATTGGCCTTTCCTATAAATGTAACACAAAAAGAAAGTGATTGAACTTGTAACAACGGCAGGCACAAGTGATCTGCAGGCACTCAATGCTAGCTCTAGAGGTTTACACAAAAGAGATTGAACATAAGAAAAATGCTGTACTCAGCAGCAAACTGTTACACTTTTCGGATAAAGAAATGTAGCACCATGGACAGAAAAGGTTTGACTTTTCATCACCTCCCAGTTACTAAAATGGGTTACATGCTCCTTCTTTGTTCCATTTATTAATACTAGCTTGAAACCAAGAGTCCAGGTAGGGGCAGTTTCTCAAACTGTGGCTTTTCTATCAAAGAGAACTGTTATCTAAGCAAACTTGGGCATAAACTTCTTTCAACAATTTCCACTTGAAATCACTCAGTTGTACTATATTACATTAACATTCCAAATAGCTAACTGCTACAATTGAATTAAATTCAGCTTGGTTCTATGCTAACTCTTTTAACCAATGCTTCCATTAAAACATCACTTGCTTTGGAAAGCACTGCTGGCAAAGGCAAAGGCATTCTTAAGTGTTAAGTGCTGAAAAACAGTTTTCTAGTTTTACCAAGTCCATAATTCTTCCCATACTTTGTTTAAAAATTACTATTCCAGTAGAGAAGATTTTACTCATGCTTAACACTTATACACATCTTATAACTAATAATACACTAAAATAAGTAGCTAAAATAATGGACCAGTTAATGGTGATAGGAAGAAAGCAAATGGCTGCAACTCACGTGAGATTTCTGTATCAGTTCCTCTTTGGTTATCTCCCCAACCGACTCCAAGTGTGGGCAATTGCTGCCGGGTGACGACATTGTGGAGGCTGGATTGGCTGAGATCCTGCAGCTGGAATTTTCAACACCAGGGAATCATTTGTCAACAGAAGTAAGAATGAGCAAAACTCAATTCCTCACAGTAGGCAGCTATATTGGATATCTAATATGCAATATATATACATGACTTTTAAAACACTGTATAACTAACTTTACTAACAGTCAAAGTCCAAACAGTCCAGCAGTCCAAACTAAACCCTGCTGACTTCTAGGGCATAAAGTAACCAAAACCTGAGTGGAGCAGAGCTGATTTGGATTAATTATTTAAGCTCCTGGACTCTGCCATGGCACACCAATGACACAAAAATTACAGTTTTCAAGCATACCTGGAACTAATGGTGGCTTTGACTGTGTATTCTGGAAAGGGATCTTTGCAACACTGCTGAAGTGTGCTGAAGCTGTGAAGGCTGAAATGCAGGAGCACAAGACTTGCTTATCAAAGGAGAAGGAAACTTTATCTTGGCTTTATTTATTTACAAAGACACATTCTAGATTCAGGCATATCATATCTTAAAAGCAAACTGAAACTTGTAACTCACACGTAGCCCTGAACACTCAGAGAGCTTTGATCTTGTTGAGCTCTCTCTGCCCGTCCAAAGTCTCTGATGCAGACACAGACTCATCAAATATAAAGAATGCTAAATGCAATCACTTTGTCACTATTATTTTGGTGGTTGCATGGAAGGCTATGATGTTTTACAGAAGGAAAATAATAAATAATAAACTCTAACATTCTTTTTATATAAATACTCCACAACTGACTCATGCAGAAAAAAACCATCCAATAACTTGGTTCCAATTCTGTCACTTAAACACTTACTACTGATGCCTCAATCTCTCTAAAGGCCAAGAAATCTTAAGCTTTCCTTGCCCAATTATTACCTGCCCAATCTAGCACTCCTTTATCAAGACTTGCAACTAACCTTCCATCCTAACTCAGTAAGGTACAATCCTTAATCTGCTTGCAGCCTTTAGCACTGTTACTGACATCTCTTTCCACTTTGCCTGTTTGCTTTGGCAGCTTTAAGTTAGTTCCTTCCACTACAGGACCAATCACTCCTTTGAATATTAAGTAACCTAAGGCTTTGACAGCCTAGGGGACACAAACTGTGCCTAATAGGCATCTCAGACACACTTCCTAAACTTTCAGTTTATTATCTTTGACTTACTTTTTACTTCCATTGCCTAGCAGTAAGATCCCTTTGAATCAAGAGTCATTTCAGCTCTCTTTGGTCATTGAAAGCTTTTTCTATATATGTGTGTGTGCATGTGTATAAATAGTCTATTTTATTCCTATAAACTTCCTTATATAAATATTATTTTTAAAGTAGTATAT